GTAACCTGTGTACGTTTTTTGTTTTTTTTACTTTAGTTTAGTTAGGATTAAACTTTACTGTATTCAATACTATCGATAAATAAACTTATAATGTTCTTCTACTACCTAACGTCAAACCTTTTTTAAAAACTTTGATAAGTTTTTAATATTCTGTTGTACAAAATGGTTAGTAAAGTATATTTATTTACATTCCCCTTTTGTTGTTAGTTCTTGTTTCATACAGCAATTGTAGCAACTTCATCACTGAGCTTTGCAGCTTTCTGCCGCAGGCAGACTGTTTGTCGTCGAGTGAATAATGTTCTTTGGGAAACATTTTAACTAGTATGCTTATGCAGCAGGTTCTCGGTCAGAAAGCGTAACGGTCGAACATACAAACAAGCAATTTAATAGTATAGATAGCGTCTTCTCACCAATAACAACACGTGTCTCGCAACAACTTAGTGTTGATCTTTCGACTTTTCTAATTGCAACTGTACGCTTACACTCAGTTATTATATTAAAGATTTATTTTATTTTCACCAAAGGTAAAATTGAGAATATAATGTACGACGTAGAGGAGTAATGCATTCTTTGGTTCGTCTTATCGTCTGCCGTGGACTGCAGTTTTGTTTATTCAAAGCTCAGCAGCATGGCTTTGATCAGCAAACCAAACATATACAGTTAGGCATTTTATAATGGCGCTGTCAGTGGCGGATCCAGGATTTTGAAAACGGGGAGACACGATGATTGTGATCGTAAACGAGGAATTTTCGGGAGTTCCCTGATAGGGGTTAAATGGGTTATTTAGATTTGTTATATATATAATGTTTGCTAGATGCTATTGCTTTTTTATTTGTTAAAAATTTAATATGAAATTTCAGTACATTCTTTCCCCCTCCTCAAAGATCCAATTTTCGCAATTATTTTGATTGCATTTTCAAAACGGGGGGGGGGGGGTCTTGTATCTACATTTTGTTGTGTATATTAAAGTTCATGGAAGGGGGGGGGGGTGTTGAATTAATTTTTAACTGACACTACAGTAGCTGAAATAAATTCGCACACTAAAGTAACTTAGGTTACTATATTGTGTGTTGAATAGTACTCGAAAATCCCATACATATAATTGATTATATTTGTCATAATACAATAGTTCCAATACAGTAGTATTTCAACCACTTACACTATCGGAAAAACTCTAAGGAGCTGAATAAAGAATATGGTGTTTAAAATATATGAGTTTAAAACTTTCTTTATAACAAATGTAATATATGGTTATTTATTTTTAGAACAAAGCCACATTGGGCTATCTGCTGTGTCAAATGCGGGGAATATAATTCCGGATTTTAGCGTTGTAACTGTAAGTTCGTAAATTTACCACTGTCTCATCGGGGGATAATTGATGTTCTTATCATACTCCGTCAAAAATAGCGTTAACACAATAACTGAACGTTTATGTTCTTCAATAAGCCTGATGACCAATCCAGAACCTGTTCGAAAGCTAAATCCAACAAAATGATTTGGATTACATATCTATAGATGTGGAGAAACATTTTTAAACTAATTCTCATTGTAGCTTACAGCTTAATCGTCTTCGCGAGTGTGAAAATGGAATATCTTTCTTGATCTAAAAAAACCTGCAATAAATGAACCAAACAATATAAAACTTTTAGTTCTTAATATTGCTGTTCTCTACTTGTTTAGCAATTGCATCACCAGAAAGCCTCACAATCGAAAGTCAAGAGAAAATGGCATACGATATAACAAATGCAACGAAAGACGCCGTGGAGAGGTAAAATGAAACTTAGTTTTCTGTTTTTCTCTTGGTTCTACAAATCGTAAAATAGAAGTCTGTGCTAATAGTAATACATCTGGTAACATATTTGCGTTTTTAAGTTATAAAATTAACGAGTTTTTGAGTTAGGTCTAGAGGGATTGAAACTGGATTCACTGTTAATAGTGTTATTGTTAATTCGTTGTTGAGTTACGCTTGAAAAGGATCAAAGTCGACTTCCCTTAGTTTAAGTCAGGTATTACTGGGGGTTCGTAAGCTATTTTCTTTAATTAAATAATGCACAGAAAGACACAGAATAATAACAACGTAAAAAGCTGAGACTGTTCTATAACTGTCACAATTTTTCTGGCTCTCTAAGTATGTGAGAAAAGCCATTAAAAATTCAGCTAAGCTTCTCGATGTGTTCTGGTGGGAAAAAATGTAGAACATAGTATCAATAAAGCAGCATTAACCAGCTCATTAAACAAGAAATTGTTTTAATTGCACACTCAGTTATATATGTCTTTTATTTGACAGTGAAAAATGAGAAAACAAGTTAATTATTAGTTAATAAAAACAGTTTGTTGGGTAGACGGAATCTTTCAAAAACATGGGGTCTGTGGGGAAAAAATAAAACAAAAGGGGTCCTTGGTGGTGAAAAGGTTGGGAACCACTGGTTTAAGTCATTCATTTAGTACTACTTAGTGCTTTATATATGTCAGATTTTAAAAAATGATATTATATATATATATATAAGTTTTTCTTTTTGCCAATTGTCAAAATAAATGGCTTTTACTTATATTTCTTAGTAGTATAAATATATACTATGTTGTTGTTGGGTTAAGATTCTTCTACAGTAGGTGTCTGTGACTTATTAGCGATAAATTCAACGATGAATAAACAGTACACACTTTACTTGTTTCAAACTATTATATATATATTTGGAACAAGTTAAACGTATGTACGACAAAGTTTTCACACTATAGAGATTACAGGCATATCACAAACACTATTTTCTTGTCAAAAGTCCACTTAGGCCTATTCAATTATTTCAGAATTTCAGTTGACAAGTCGAACTATCTTCTCTATATTATTATCGTACTAGTATTCTGTGTGTGATTCACTTACAGTTGTGGCGCAAGTTACCGTAATTCATGTGGTCTTCTTTCTTCAGAAGATCCTCTGTTCCTTTTGTCAAAGTGTACCCAGGCTGATTCAATTATTCAGAACCACGCTATGACGGAATAAAATTATCCTTCTTATCTTTTTTATACTGTTAGTTTCACTCTAACATTAAACGTTAAACCTATGTCAGTCGTTAGGCCTATCACATCCACGGTACTTAACTTCACAGAGATATATTGTCTGTCTGCTGCTTCCCGCTGTCTCACGCTATTTATATCTTTATTACATAGTCGTCTGGCCACTTTCTATATTCTCGACACCAATTAGTTATTAACAAAGTCTTCTACAATTGTCGGCTTTTAACTATTATTATAACAAAACTTGAAAATAATAAAATATTCACTCGCAAATATAAATGAATCACTAATATTTAAACCAAACAGTCTTTTATATCATGACAATATATCTGTAATAAATCAAGGAGTAGAGCTCTGTATCTAGATAGTAAACGTAAAGTTATTAACCACATTTTAATTTTAACAGCCCTGTAAATAATACAGACAACAATACAAAAATATCCCAGTCTACACTGCGCGTTGCCTTACTACTGAGTGTAGCTTACGCAGCTAACTGTGGAGGAACAGGAACGTTGACCGGTACAGGGCCTAACCTCGTTCTCAAGGGTCTCTACGAAAGGTAGGCCTAGTTATCGATATCAGTACAAAAAAGGGTGAGTTATAATTTTATTTTTAGATGGTGTATACATAATAAAATAACAGTTGTGAACATATCACCTCTTTATCATTTACCATTTTTCTTGTGGTATAAGCTTTCTCCATATTTTTTTTTTAATTCTAGTACCCCTAACTATAAGAAATCACTGCACCAAAGTATACAATTACCAAAAATTACAACGTAGGAAACAAAAAATTATGAGTAGTACTAGTAGATATGAACATACATGTATATACTGTTGCGTCAGCGAGATCACGTGACTATTGTCACGCCACCTGCTTTCTAGAACTATCCCGTTCCTTCGGGAGT